GAGTTTGTCCTCTTCTCCTAGACTCTGAGAATGCAAATGGTCCCCCTTCCAACCCTCCATCTCTCCTCCAGATCAACTCTTGGCTATCCCCAAGCTAGCCTCAGCTTCCTCACTGGCCCCCCCACACTCCTGAATGTGCCAGCATGCCCTACCCTGATCCTTGCTCCATGGCACCCCTACCAGGGGTAGGAATGCCAGGAGCTGTCCCCTACCAGGAATGCTGTCTCCTCCCCCCACTCCATCCAGGCCTGTGCACTTCCAGCCCCTGGTGCCTGTCACTACTGAGCTCCCTGCCTTGCTGCAGTACATCTGCCCTTAGGCCTGCCCATCTGCAAAATGAAAGATTGGATTTTCAAAGGTCTCCTCCTAAGTCTGATGAAGAGCAAATGGAGTAGGAGATTCTGAAGCTGTCCCAGGACACAGTGAGAAAGTTCCAAGGTGGATTAGTGATATCTGCCACAAGCATGGGCTAGAGAAAGTTGTGTGTAAGCCACATTCTGGTTTTCCTGGAACGAAGTGATCTTTAAGGATTCTTCCAAAGGTATGACTTGATGAGGTTGGAGTTCCCCACCCCTGGACATTCTAAGCAAGAGCCGAATGCCTTGGGTCAGCGGTGCTGGGATGGGTTTTATCTCTGTTGTTGAGTGCTGAGATTCAGGATGTTTGTATGTCTAATCACTACATGGGATGACAAAGGCCTGGAGGACTGAAACTGAAATACAGTATCATGCTTGCATTCTGCCTTGGGGCCTGGGGACATGGTTGTTTTTTTTTTCCCCTACCCTCAGGCTGGGAGCTCATCCCTTGAAGGCTGTGTGACCTGTGGCAAGTGACTCAATTTTTCTTGAGCTTCACTTTCCTCATCTGGAAAATGGGGTAATAGTTATAATGTTGTTGTAGGAATTAAGCGAGTTAATTAGAGCTCTTAGAACAGTGCCTGATGGATAATAAGCACTGGATGTACATTGATTACTATGCTTATACCTCAGAAGTGATCCCGGCCAGAGGAGAGGCTCCTGAAGGTGGGGGATCTTGAGTCTTTGCCCCTCAGGGCCCCTCCATTGGCCATTATAGTCACTGTTTTCTTGGCAACTGAGAATGTGAGCCCAGGTCTTGTCCTGGTCTCCTCCAGATATCATTGAAACCTAAAGTGTCCAGAGCCTCAGGGGACTGGGCATGGAGTGTTGTGCTCTATCTAGAGGCCCCTCTCAGTGACTTTTGGACCCCTCCCACGGGTCATGTGGTAGCTGCCTCTCTAAAATCCCAGCTCCCGCCTGACTAGTGTTATCAGCAGGCTGGATGCCAGAGGCTGTGTCCATTGCTGGTAGGCTGGCAGGGACAGTTCCAGCACTTCTCTGGTGCTCTGGGTCCATGTGCTCCACTGCCCACTCTGCCTGCTAGGCTTGCTTCACTGCTGTCTTCAGTGTGGAAGTCACCCTGTCTCTTTTGGTTCAGGTATTGCACCCCAGTGTCTCTCTCCCATTCCCTCCCAGCAGTGCCCAGGGCCCTCCCTGGCCAACGTGGGCACCTGCTGACAATGGTCCTGTTATCTCTACCATCTCATCCCAGCCCACAAATTGCTATGTGACTTTGGAAGAGTCTCAGCCTCAGTTCTTCCATCTATAAAATTGGGAGCCGGCCTGCTTGCTTGCTAAAGCTTCTTTCATCAAAACAAATCTAATTTCATTTCTTATCTGATTTAACCATGTGCAGTTTCTGAGCAAGAGCTAAATACCTGTATATCCCTGGTTGAGGATATTGTCCCACATTTCTTTCTTTTTAAAAATTTTTTATGTATTGGTTTGAAATAGAGAGACAGAGAGAGAGAGAGAGAGAGAGAGAGAGAGAGAGAGAGAGAGAGAGAGAGAGGGAGGGAGGGAGAGAGGGAGGGGGGGAGAGAGAGAGATCGATTTGCTGTTCCACCCATCCATGCATTCACTGGTTGATTCCTGTGTGTGTCCTGACTGACCTGAGATTGAATCTGCATTGGGATGATGCTCCAACCAGTTGAGCTGCTTGGCCAGAGCTCATCTTACATTTCTTAAACCGGGTCCTCAGAGACTCAATTTAAGAGCTGTGTAATCTTCTTGCCAAGCCAGTGTTTATATGTGAGGAGTGTCCTTGGGACATTTGGTAAGTTGGTGGTGCTGGGGTTGTTGCTCATGGGTTTTCTACTGGGGCTTTCTTTGTGGTGCTGTGTTCACCAAGCCTATGAGGGACTCTCCATACCCTGAGTGTGTCATACACACATGCATCCACACATGCACATGCATGTACACAGACAGTACAGTGAAGGCAAGAGAAGCTGAGACTGGACTATACTTGGCTCCCACTCTGTCTCTGTTCTTTACTTTCTGAGTGACTTGGACAACTGACTTTGCTGTGAGTCTCAGTTTCCAGCTCTGAGAAAAATGGGAGAAGGTATAAACATGACCTTGTTGATTTTTTTCTATGTGGTTCTAGGAGGAATGTCAACAGGTGAGAGGGTTGCCGGGCCTGTGTGACATAGTCTGGGTGAGTCCTAAGTGCTCAGCCTTATAGAGACACCAGGAGTCACAGCAGCAGCCCCACCTACCTGGGAGCAGGCCAGGTGTGGGGCTGCTCAACTGCCAGGAGCTGTGCACCAGGATGAGCTCTCTGGACTTTGATTCTTGCAATTCTGTCCCAAGCAGGCCTTGAGCTGCCTTGGAGTCCCAGCTGGAGTAACCATGACCCGTTAGATGTCTCTCCAGGCCTCCAGGCCACACAAACCCACCCCCAGCAATCTGGCAGCCACCTGCTGGCATCTGTGTACCCCAACCTTGGCACCTCCCTTTGGAGGGTCCGGAAATCTGGGGATGAGCTGTCTTCCTGGCACAGGGAGTCCTTGGGGAGCTCACCACCACTGGCTCCCTGCCCCCTGGCCCAGACTGAAGCAGCATTCATCATTCTAGCTTCCAGTCTCAGCTCCTCCAATCCATGGTGAGGTGGCCAGGTGGAGCACCTATTGGGGGAGGATAGTAACATGAGGAGAGGCCCCATGGAATCTGGGGCCCCATGACGGGAGACCTTGCATTAGACAAAAATGGTTTGAATATCAGCTCTCCTGCTTATTGGCTGTGTGGTTTTGGGTAAGGCACTTTACTTTTCTGAATCTCCATTAAGAGAGAAGTACAGATAGTAGCTACCTCCTTGAGCTGTGGACTGGCTGACCTAAGAGCATTTGCTGATGTGTCTGGCCTGCTCTTGCTGTGGTTGGAGGAGCTGGTTCTCTCAGGTAGTAAGTACTGCATGAGCATCTGGGGGTCCAGTAGCATCTAGGAACCTAGACAGACCTTAGAAGGGGTCTGTAGCCTCATGGCTCTACCCAACCCTGTCTCCCAGATGTTTGGAGCAGAGGTCAGAGGTTGTGCCTCTCTGAGGCTCTGGTTGCAACTGGCCATACAGACCAGGGATGAATCCTGGTGTTGCTACCTCTTGGCTATGTCATTTCCAGTGTCTAAGCCTCTCGTGGGTATCCAGCTGCCTGTCTCCCTGCTGCTGTCCTGGGACCTTCTCTGGGGCCTCAGTGTCTTCTGGGCACTTCAAGCCTTCCAGCCTTGTCTAGCTCTGACCTCATAGTGCAACCAGGTGGGGTCTGGGGGTGCATGGGGTCCCCATTGGTGGGGAGGAGCATGTCTAACCTCCTTGTGCTCATGTCTGGGCCAGCTGGCCAGGGGTCTCCCTCTCCTTCCACCTCAGCCCTGCTGAGGCAGGGTGAGGTCCTAAGTACCCGCAGCCCCAGTGCTAACAGCCAGATGGCCCCAGTGCCCACAGGGCCAGGTGGTGCCATGGCACCCAGACTGCAGATGCCTCAGCCTGGTACCAACAGGCTGTCCCAGAGCCAGCAGGGCATTGGGGGAGGGGTAGCCACTGGCTTGTGTGTCCAGGGACTGGACAAGTACTGCCAGCCATGGGAGCAGTGTTTATCCAGCATGGGTGTGGTACTTTGGGATGTGCCCTGAGACCACCCAGTGTGTGTGAGTGTGTGTGTATGGCAGGCTGACCAAGTGACACTTTGAGTGCTTCCCATGTGCTTTAGTTTAGAGCCAAGGAAGGTGGGTGTCAGGGAGGCCCCTGGAATGAGGTCAGCCAGTTAGTGACTCCTCTGGGCACTGACTTAGGGACCCCCTCCTAGCTACTGCTCATGGCAAGGCCTTCAATAGACCCTGGGGGGGTGAGTCAGCAGTGAGGGAAACAGCAAACTCCCTGTGCTCAGGTGGCTGATGGTCTTGTGGGAGGGACTGCAACCCTGTGCACATCATCGTTGTTGTTATTACTACCTTTATTAGGCCAGAGGTCAGGGTTGTGGGATTACATTGGGACCTGCGTAGGGTGTAATATCCTCCGAGAACACAGGGAAAACCTCTGGAGATATTCTAGTGGCATTAAAGCCAAGGCCTGAATGAGGAAGGTGGTGGGGAAATGCCTGGGACGAGAGGGTCCGGGTGGGTTTAAAGAACAGGAAGGAGCCTGTGAGAAGCAACATGGTAAGTGAGGTGGAGGCTGGGAGGTGAGATCTGAGGGGTCCTGAGTTCTGCTCACGCAGGTGCCACAGATGCCAGTGGGGACTCTGGCTTTGAGCAGATGATGGATAGGCTCCCTCTGGCTGCCACTGGACTGGGGTTGGGCAGTAGCATGGAGGTGGGCAAGGTGGTTGCCAGACTGGTCCAGGTAGGTAACAATGGGGCTGTGTGAATGGAAGAAGGGGTAGATCCTAAATATATTTTGAAAGCAGAGCCCTTGGTGTGGGAGTAAGAAGAGCTGAGGATGAATTCAAGGTTTTGGCTGGAAGTACTGGGAGGATGAAGTGGCAGATTTCCAAGCTGGGAAGGATGAGGAGCAGGCTTACAGTGGGAGGGAGGATTAGGATCCTGGTTGTGGATAAATTAGTGTCAAAATGTCTGCCAGTCACGTCTGAGGGCCCTGGGTGGAGGACTTTGTGGGCTGGTGCAGGACATCTGCTGTCCTATCTGTTGCAGGAGCCTTCCCACCTGGAGCCGGCCTGGGGGCGAGGAGCAAGGGCTGCCCTATCCCCGGGATGACTGCAGCCAGCCGAGCCAACCCCTACAGCATTGTGTCATCAGAGGAGGACGGGCTGCACCTGGTCACCATGTCGGGTGCCAATGGCTTTGGCAACGGCAAGGTTCACACGCGGCGTAGGGGCAGAAACCGCTTTGTTAAAAAGAATGGCCAGTGCAACATTGAGTTTGCCAACATGGATGAGAAGTCACAGCGCTACCTGGCTGACATGTTTACCACCTGTGTGGACATCCGCTGGCGCTACATGCTGCTCATCTTCTCATTGGCCTTTCTTGCCTCCTGGCTGTTGTTTGGCATCATCTTCTGGGTCATTGCTGTGGCTCATGGTGACCTGGAGCCAGCTGAAGACCGTGGCCGTACGCCCTGCGTGTTGCAGGTACATGGCTTCATGGCAGCCTTCCTCTTCTCCATTGAAACTCAGACCACCATTGGCTACGGGCTGCGCTGTGTGACAGAGGAGTGCCCAGTGGCTGTTTTCATGGTGGTGGCACAGTCCATCGTGGGCTGCATCATTGACTCCTTCATGATTGGTGCCATCATGGCCAAGATGGCCAGGCCCAAGAAGAGGGCGCAGACACTGCTGTTCAGCCACAATGCTGTTGTGGCGCTGCGCGACGGCAAGCTTTGCCTCATGTGGCGTGTGGGCAACCTGCGTAAGAGCCACATCGTGGAGGCCCATGTGAGGGCTCAGCTCATCAAGCCGAGGGTCACAGAGGAGGGTGAGTACATCCCGCTGGACCAGATTGACATCGATGTGGGCTTTGACAAGGGCCTTGACCGCATCTTCCTGGTGTCGCCCATCACCATCCTGCATGAGATTGACGAGGCCAGCCCACTGTTTGGCATCAGCCGGCAGGATCTGGAGACAGACGACTTCGAGATCGTGGTCATTCTGGAGGGGATGGTAGAGGCCACGGCCATGACTACACAAGCCCGAAGCTCTTACCTGGCCAATGAGATCTTATGGGGTCACCGCTTTGAGCCTGTCCTCTTCGAGGAGAAGAACCAGTACAAGATTGACTATGCACATTTCCACAAGACCTATGAAGTACCCTCCACTCCCCGCTGTAGCGCCAAGGACCTGGTGGAGAACAAGTTCCTGCTGCCCAGTGCCAATTCCTTTTGCTATGAGAATGAGCTGGCCTTCATGAGCCGTGATGAGGAGGACGAAGCTGATAAAGACCAAGACAGCAGCAGTCCTCAAGCTAGGCACGACTTTGACAGACCCCAGGCTGGTGGCAGTGCCCTTGAGCAGCGGCCCTACAGGAGGGAGTCAGAGATCTGAACTGCTGTTGGCCAAGGTGCAGCATCCGCCCAAGCCAGGGAGAGGCCTGCATTCCCCAAGGGCCCAGAGTTTTGGCTGAATGGGCCAGACACTCTGGTTGCAGACTCAGTAGTGTTTTAGATGTTTTATGTTTCTCCACAATGGCCTTGGAAGGTTGGCGGGAGAGTGGGTGGCTGGAGCAGGCAGTCCCCAGCCTCAAATGCCCAAGCAGGCTCGGGGGGAAGGGGTGACCTCCTGGGGGCTGGACCTTCTGCCTGAGGAAGGGGCTGCAGTCTGCCCAGAAATAGCTCTGCAGCTGGCAACCCAGCCTCTGGGTGAGGCTGGCAGGCTGTAGGACAACCTGCTGGTTTTTAACTTGGGGAGAAGCGATGGGTTTTGGCTTTCTCAGTCTTAGCTTGGGAAAGACTGTTTACAAAAAAAATTAACATGTGATTAATTTTGTTTTAATCCATGAGGGTACAAAAAAGGGACAATTAGAATTCCATTTGTTTGCCAGGATGCAAGCAGCTGGTTGGAGGCTCTTGACACTTCCCCAAGGCTGGATGGACCTCTGTCTCCTCTGTGAAGGCCAGGCCCTGGCGGGTGGTGGGCCTATGGAAAGCACAGCAACACCATGGTTTTTTATGCATGTGGGTAGATTAGATTCCATTTGTGATAGAAAAACCAAGACCATGCTCATTATCATAATACAAGCTTTCCAGTGTCATAGAGGAGGAGGAAAGGGGCAAGAAAAAACTAGTTTGAGCTTTTTAAGTTTAACTTTGCCCATTAGAGGTGCTTCTCAGGGTTGGATAGGAGACCTGTCTGCCATGGAGGGTTTCCTCTCCCTCAGTTCACTGTATTCTCCTGGTTTACTTTTCTCTTTTTCTGGCCAGTGGCCTCCACCCCTTCCATGGAGAGGGCCGTTGGGAAATGCAGGGATGGATGGCTCCATGGGACGGAAGCCTGGTTCCTGGACTGATAGGAACTGGATCAGCCCCATTTTGTAAGGGCCCTAGCATGACTTGTGCCTTAGAGACACCGAGTGGTCTGGCTTCAGTTTTTGTTTTTATAGGACTCTCCCCACTACCCTGACTCTACTGTGAAGTCCCTGCCAGCCTCTCTGTCTGAAGAGGCTGGGCTGGCCAGTGCTCCCTCTGAACCTGGGGCAGCATGGGTGAGCCCAGGTGAGTGGCAGCCAGCCTGTACCTGGCCTGAATGACAGAGGAACAGTCTTAGGGAAGATGTGAAATTGTTGGCTGAGGTGACTAGGAGTAGTACACACATCCAGGAACTCTAGTCAAGAAGAGGTTTGGGGCTGATGACTCTGCTGGCCCAGAATCAGGCCCCCTGGATGAGAACTTGCCCAGTGGGGACTTGTTTCTGTCAAAGAAGACAGCTGGTGGAGCCTGGACCCTGGGATAGAGCTGGGACCCTTTCCAGGACAGCTAAGAGTGCTATCCTTCCAAATGACCAGTCCCATGAGGAAGTTAGTACTGGTTTGCTTGTCCAGGCTGTTTCAACCATGCCCTCAGGACAGCTCACAACCTGAGGCACCAGAGACACTGGCCCAAATTGGGGAAACTGAGGCAGAGTGCAAGGTCATGCAAATAAGGAGTAGGTTTCCAGTGACAGGAAGAGGTTAGGGTCTGGGTGGGGTCTCCTGAATCTTCCCTCCTCCTCTGACCCTTACTACAGCTGGAGACCTGACCTGAGGTCAGGGGCTGTGGAAGGCCTGGGCATGGACTATCAGCTCCCCACCAGAGATACCCTGACAGCCCCTACACTGAGGTAGGCCTGACTCCCAACACCCTGTCCTAGCCTCAGACCTCACCCTGACTTCTGGCCAAGAAGATTCACCCTGAGGCACTGGAGGCAGCTCTTTCAGGATCTGCTGGAGGAGCCTCTGTTCTGAGCCCAGTAAGGCTGACTTACTCAGCCTTAGCCCTGGGGTGAGGTTGGAGCTGATGTTGGAGCACTTACCTACTGATCCTGTCCCAGATTGTCAGGCTGAGCCAGGGTGGAACAAGGTGACTCGTTAGTTGGGCAGCATTAGGGGCTGGTGCTCTGATCTGCCCAGCAGCCAGAGATCCTTCCAGGGCCGGGTGGACCAGCCTTCCACTCCAGAGTATACTCACTCCAGAAATCACTCACTTCCACTCATCGGGAGTATCACTCACTGGAACTTCTAGGCTCTGGTGATTTCAGGTGGCCTGATGTACCTTTTCTCAGGTCTGTCCCCTCCCAGGCCATGCCAGACAGTCTAGTCCCCAGGTCCTTTAGGAGAGAAGCTCCAAGCTGCCTTTATCTCTCGCCAAAGGCAGATGCTGTTTTTTCACTTTTCTGCCCTTTCCCCCCTCTTCTGTTTGTATGTATGTATGTATTTATTTATTTATTGCTTGTGCTAAAGATCAAAATAGTCTCCCTTTTTAATTCACTTGAAACTGGAGGGTGGTTGGGAGGAGGGGCTGTTGTGTGTGCAGAGTGAGGATCACATGGCTCCTGGGGAGTGTGTGAGGGGGGATATGTGTCCACGTGTGGTGTGTGGAGAATGGGAATGCTCATATACATGTGCATGCATGTGGTATGTGGCATGTGTGCATGCGTATGTATGTCGGGTATAATCTGTGAGGAGCAGGTATGTATTCCAAAGTGCCCCGGCCCTCACCTTCCCAGGCAGCAGGATTTCCAAGAATTTTCTCAATAGTCTGAACCAGGAGGTCTGAGGTTGGAGTGGGCTATGGATGTGGCCTCTGGCACGCTCTGCCCTGGAGCACTGAGCTGCTTATGCCAGAAAGGGCAGAAGTGTGTGTGTGTGACTGTGAGAGTGTAAGCATAAGGTGTGTGTGTTCAAGTGAAACATACAGTTGTTGCTTTGCCTGTAAGTACATGAACATGTGGATTCATTGTACATGGGACTGTTGTACAGATGTGTGACAGTGACAGTCTCTGTGTGAATCTGGGATGATGACACAGATCTGTGATATGTATGTTTGTCTGCATACACATAGGCTGTGCATATTTACCTGTAGGTGTGTGTGTGTGTTTTCTTTCTCTTTTTTTTTTTATTGTTCAAGTACAGTGGTCTCCATTCCCGCCCCCCCCCATGTGTGTGTGTGTTTTATATGTGGACATTGGTTTAAATGTTCACCAGGAAGTCACTCTGGCCACACACAACTTGGGATGGATGCTGGCCATGGGTATCAGTGTGGTGGACCTAGGCAGTCCCACTGGCACTCTGCACTGGTTGTGTCCATGGGGAGTGTGAGGGGTGTGTATGCCTGGACAGGAGGTGACATTGGCACATGTATGTGAGTCTTTGGCATCTATCAGTGAGCAGTTATGTGTAAGAGGCATGTGTGTGTCTGTTCATATGAATGTGTATGTGCATGTGGCACATCTGTGTGGCGTTTGTGCCAGGCTGTGAACAGGACAGTGTGTATGTATGTGAGTGTATGCAGGTTCTGGGAGCTGTGTGTGTGAGTGTCAGGGTCATGTGTCCATGTGTGTGCCCTTGCATTGCTGTGACTCCCAGTCCCTGCCTACTTGAGGGTCCCAGTGGGGGTTGGGAGACTTGGTGGAAAGGAGTCCCCTACACAGGGGTGTCTGCCCTGTGTGAGAGCACAGAATATCAAATATATTTTAAATGGTGAATTTTCATGTTATTTTCAGTACAGAGCAGTATCTGAAGACATAGGCCATGAGATTAGACCACATTAAATGCATTTTGATCTCCTTGAGTGCCACCATGTGGAGATGTGTGTTTCAAAGGCCTTGCCTGGCTCCAACACACACTGGCAGTTCTTGGGCTTCTTCAGCCCCTGTGTTCTGCAGTGATGGGGCTCCCCAGGGGCCTTCAAGGGTTGGGGTCAGGGGGAATATGGAAGCAGCTTGGAGACGAGGACAGAACACAGCCTACACACAGACCTTGGCATGTTCTTCCAGCCAGCACGCACACCCTTACTCCCGGGTGACCAAACACCTCTTCCCCATGGGCTTAGGCTGCACATGTCACACCTCCCAGCTATGTGACCTTGCCCACTGCCCTGTCTTTTCTGGGTCTGTGTCTCCCACCTGTCTTTCCTTCTGCAAAGATGTGATGAGCACCTCTATGTGCAGGAGACCAGAGGCTCACTCTGGGACCTACAGGACTGGGGGAGGTCCCCTCAAGACTGCAGCCCTGGTGCTCACTGCTGTGACAGGAGAGGTTGGGCCAGGCAGGGGGCTTGAAGACCCCTACATCAGCCTGGCAGAAGATGCAGAGCAAGCAGGCACTGCTGGCAGTCGGACCAGCACAGGCAGGGAAACGACATCTGCGCAAGGCCTATTTTTGGGGGTAAAGAAAATTTCTTCTGCACCAAGGGCTCAGTCTCTAGCATTCCAGTGGCCTTCTGGCAGAGGCCAACAGGGAGAGAATTCTTTCCTTTCCCGAAACTATTTTCACTACTAGAGAGATGTGTATCAGTGAAGGACCTGGGGATTGTTCCCTTGCATTGTACCTGGGGTCCCTACCTCAGGACCCACATGGGTCCATTGAGGCACTACATTGAGGCTGTTTTGGCAGGCAGAGCTTGGACAAAAAGAGCAAATAATGACCTGGCACCCAGTTCCCTCCTTCCTGACTCTGTCAGCTGCAGCCCCTCCCTGAGCCTCAGTTTCTCCACATGTAATCTGACACAAGGATGACATTCTCTGAGGACTCGGAGTGCTGTACCAGACTGTCCAGGCCCAGGTATTTAGAGAGCCCTTCTTTCCCTGGGTCAATGCCAAGGTCAGTGCTGAGGCCCAGGACTGCACTTCCTCCTTGATAAGGCTTGGTGCAGCAGCTGAGCTAGAGCTCAGAGACTACAGCCTTAGGCCAGGGAAGGGCTCCAGGACAGGCCCTGGAGCAATGCAGTGGTACAGGTTGTACACTGTACAACCCCAGGGATGCCATTTACAACCTATACAATCAGGCACAGCAGTGGTAACCTCTGAGACTTCTTGCCTTTTTTCCCTCACTTCCTCAGGGCTCCAGAGAGGAGTTGCCCATGGGCTTTCTAGGAAGGGATCCACACCGTGCCTGGAATATGCAGTGTGAGATTACAGGAATAGGAGGCACAGACAGGGGCCACTTCTGCAGATGCTTTTTCGTGAAACCACTGACTGGCTAGAAAAATGAAAGGGTGACTCAGCCTCATACCAACATACACACAATCATGCACATAAGCACACGTACACACACCAGAAATGCACACAGACACATACAACTGTGTGGAATATTACGTAGCCAGAAAAAGAATGGTTCCCTGATGCATGCAACAATGTGGATGAATCTTACAGACATTATGTTGAATGAAGTGATCCAGACATAAGAGGATTCAAGTCTATTCATATGAAGTCCTAGATCAGACAGTCTATGGTGACAGAAATCAGGACAGTGGTTGCCTGTGGGGAGCAGGTGAGCCAGTTACTGGATGTCAAGGAATAGAACTCTCCTGTTAGAGCAGGTGGCTGAATTTGGGCTCAGAAGACAGGCAGTGCCTGGATTGGGAGGAAGGGCATGATGAGGGGAGGTCCTTATCCATGTGTCCTGTCCAGTCAAGAGTGGGTTTTACAGCTGAAGTTTGGAGGTGAGTGACTTTCTGGAGGTTGCAATGTCCTGCCCTTTTAGGTGGCCACCACTGAGATTCATCACTGAGGAAGAATCAACTAGGGGCAGGTATAGAGAGGCAAGGATGCTGGGCTGCCTGGAAAGCAGGGGTAAGTTGGGGGGCAACTGGAGTATGGTGGGACCTGACTGAGGTGGTTGACAGACATGGGGCATGTGACAGACATCGAGACCCTTGCTGTTCAAAGACACTGATGAAGTTGCTGGCCACAGGTTCTGGCCCTCCCAAAAATCCCTTAGCACAACAGTTACTGACACCCCCATCTTAGCCCCTTGGAATTAGACCCCATGTGCGCTGCCCCCTGGGAAGAATAGCAGGGCCCAGCCTCTGGGCAAGATGGGCAGGTGGTAAAGTTGGACTAATGAGCTCTGTTAACCAGCCTTGTGTGTGGTGGGGAGAGTAACTGGGGGGTGTCAGTGAGCCCAGCTCCTCCAAGGGATGAGCCCCTGGGTCCCAGCCCAGAGACTAGTGACCTGAGTGACCATGAGGCCCCAGTCCACACAGTTCTGACCATAAAGGGTGGGCTATGCTGGGCTCATTTCTTGAACATTCTGCTGAATATCAGAGGTGGAGTGTTTTTCTGTCCACCCAGCCAGGTGGCCCCTATGAAGTACTGGTAAAGTCCAGGTGGCTGTGACTTCTACCCAGCAACCACTCAGAGGCAGGGACAGTGAGGCATGGCTTTTATTAATTTAGTGTTTGGGCTCTTCCTCTGCGCCTGACTCAGAAGTGATAAATGCTACAGACACTACAAACCAAGTGAGTAAGAGAGAACAAGGGTAGTTAGAGGGAAGTGACCTTCACACTGTCCCTGAAAGGGCGCAGGGAGTGAGAATGGGCTCTGTAGAGCAACTCTTTGGGTGTGAACCTGGCTTCACCTTTCCCTAATTCTGTGTTCTGGCCCAGAGAGCTAACTTCTTTGTGCCTGTTTTCTTTCCTGTAAAATGGGGCTGGTGATCATAAAGCAGTGTGTGAGGGATGAATGAGTAAGACACAGGACAACAGATGGAGGGTATATAAGTATGAGCTCTTTTCTCTCATCACCGTTATTTAGGGATAAGCACCCAAACTTGGGGCAGCCTTGGGCTGGTGCTCTGTTGGCTGGGGGACAGGGCAGGGTGGCTGGACCACTTAGAGCCAGGGACAGAGTCCAAATGGGAGAGAGATAGTCTGGGGCTGGGGTCTGCCTCCTCCGGGTGTGGTGGGAGCAAGAAGGAACTGTGAAAATGGTCAACATTTTCACATTGGCATCTTAAGAAGATCACTCTGGCTGCCATGTAGGAAGTAGCACAGTGAAGCCAATGTGGTAACTGGGAAGAGAGGAGGAAACTTGCTCCAGACAGGCAAGTAAACCAGTTAGGAGGTTGAATGCACAGCTGGGCATAGGGGGAACTCTGACTGAGCCTGTTGATTTTGGTGTGAGCTGCTGAGTGGATGAGAAGCACCAGGGTGATGGTACTTTTGGACATTTTAAGATGCCAACAAATGACACTCCACTTTGGAAGACAGTTTGGCAGTTTTTTATTATGCTAAATGTACACTTAGCATAAGATGAGGCCATTTCACTCCTACATGCTGCTCAAGAGAAAGGAAAACTCATTTTTACGTGCAAACCTGGAAGTGATATTTACAACAGCTTTATGTGTAATTGCTCAAAACAGAAAGAGACCCAAATGTCCCTCACCTGTAAGCGGGCAACCAGATTGGGACCTGTCCCCATGATGAAATGCTCCTGAGAAATGAGGAGGAATGGGTGTCGATTCTTGAGCCAATATGATTGATCCCAAAGGCATGCCACTGAGTGAAAGAAGCCAGACTGAGAAGGATCTCTTTTACATATATAGTATTCTGGAAAAGCTAAAACCATGGAGATGGAGAGCACATCAGTGGTCATCAGGGCCCAGGGCAGAGGAAAGGGTGACTACAAAGGATGGAAGGGGATTTTTGAGGGGTGATAGAATGCTTATGTGTTGATCATAATGATGGTCACACAGATATGTGCACTTTGTCATGACTCCTGGGACTCTGGATGAATATAGGTCAATTATACCTTTTTTTAAGGGGAAGAAAAAGCCAATGAAACATATATAGAGAGGTCCATGTGTCTGGATTTTGGAAGAGAGATCATGTCTGAAGTTTGAGGCTGGGAAGACATGGGTGTGGATGGAACTGAATGATCGTGAGAAGTTAATTATAGATGACGTGACAAGACATGAGAGAGACTGAGGTGTTCAGAATGACTGGGGCTTCTGCTAGACAGACAAGGCACTGGGTGACACAATCTTGTGACACCTCAAATTCAGGAGAGGTGGTGCTTCCAGGGCTTACCCCCTGCCCCCATCCCAGGGTGACAGTTCAGGGGCAAAATGGGTTCCAGGAAGCTTAGTCAGGACTGAGGCCCTCCAGGGGGTCTGAGCTTCTAGAA